TTAATAATTCAGATATATTTAGCAGGCATTATATTATTATAAATTTCATATAGCAGGCTTTAATGTTATCAAAAGTATAATAGAGTTAATAATAATAATTATTATTATTTGAGGAAATAGCTTTATAATTTCACATGAGTGTCAAATTCTGGTTCCATTGATGCGTTTCATACAGGTAAATAGATACATATGTCTTGAGGGATATGTATAGTTTAAATATTATTGGCAATAAGGAATTCATTATCCCAACATGTGGATCCTAAACTGTTAAACAACCCATTAAAGTATAATGTGACATTTTATTCCTGCTTTTTTCGCATTTGGAGTTATTTGCAAAAAAAATTTGATATATTCCAATAAAGAGGTTTCATAATTATGTGAACCTTCTAAGTCGGAACAAGATATTATCTTAATGGCAAAACAATATACAGGCATGTGTCTCGAAAAGAAATCTCGAATCAATAAAAGAATGTTCTACTACCAAGATCATAATATACCTCTTTGTCAAAAAACACCTGTACCATGGTATTTTCATTTCTCAACAAATATTGTTCCACAAAATAAATTAAAAAAATTTACTCTTTATTATTTCCTGAACATATAATTCATGGAACAAGCAATTCTTTAATCATGAATTTATTTGATTCATGACTGAATTATTTTTTTGCTGATTGAAAGTTCAATCGTATTTATAGACTTTCCCTAAACTACAACCAGGTTTTACTATCTTCTGCGCCAGTAAAGCACCAATAATTAATGAAATTGACAAATTAAATAAATAAATAAAATAATAAACAGGACCACAGTTTTGGTCTTCTTCTACCGGTAGATCACCTTTTATTTATTTTGAAATCATTCGATAGGCAATGATCATATGTGTCCATGGTAATACTAAAAGAATGCCTTAATGGAAAATCAAGATGACAATTGATAAAAATGTTACAGAGGTAGTTAAGAATTTTTCTTGAAAATCATGCTAAAGTTCGTAAATTACCAAGCCAAGTGAGAAATTTAAATCGATTAACTCAATCATTGCATTCTTACCAACAGAAATGTTATAAATCTGTCTGTTGAGACTTTCTCCAGAGATTCAAATCATGGGCCTAATTTAATGTTTACTCTTGGTTTTGGTTGCAGCATGCTATATATAATATATTTTAATCTAAAATCAAAGCTAAAAAATAATGATTCATAAAGAGACACAGGTAGCAACAATTCTGGCCTTCTAGTTTTGAAAAATACCTATTAAAACCAGATGATCAGGTATGGCTGATTGATTGATATTTTCAGGAAGAATTTGAGAAATGAAAACATTTGCGCTGTTCCAAGAGTGGCGCATTTTCTTAACAGGTTGCTCATTTACAAAGGTTTTAAAACTATAAATCACCTTGTATAAAAAAAAGTTTTATTCACGAAAAAATTATTCCTGAAGAGATTGCCAGTACAGAGCAAATAATTTCAGCACTAATCTTTATTTCTTCAACAGCTTTATCCATTAATCAATGAAAAATAAAAAAAAATAAATCAAGAGATAAATAATTACTGTTCCAAATATAATAAGTTTTTTGATATATGAGAATTTCTGAGGACGCCCATTAATAAATCTACGGATTAATTAATAACAATGGGAATGCTTTACACCAATAATAATTTATGAATTAACATCATCATTAATAATAATTCCTGTGGCGATGTATATTATATTACTAGAAGATCCAACAAATACAACAAATATTTAAGATTTTTCGAATTAGATTTGCTATGAAAGTTCCCGGAATCGAAATTTCAAATATATCTGGTGGCAATGTAATTATTGATGTTAATGGTAGTGATGGTGGAATTAACAGTGTTTATTGATACACACATTATATCCTTTTTTTTTGCTCGCAATTACGTTATTAAGAATCGCTATTATGTAACTGGTTACTTAAAATCTTGACCCTGCGATTCTCTTGTGGCTTATGTTTATGAATAAGGAAACCTCGTATTAATGTATCAATTCATCAAGAAAATAAATCTCACATAAACCTACGTAGGTTTAAAATTGACCAGAATTATACGGGATTATTAACAGAATTACCAAAATCTTGACAAAATGCTGGCTAATTCTAAATCCTACGTAGTAGATTTACGTTTTCCTAATGTTAACATGATTGCGTATCAAAAAAAATTATTTCAAAAACGTTGACCTTAGCATTTTGTTAATTGAATTTAGTATCTATGTAGAAGGTGTATATAGTCAAAAAAAATCATTTTTTTGATATGAAATGTTGAAATTAAAGAAAAAAAATTTTTCTTCAAAATTTCAATTAATCTGTCGAATCATCACACGAGTGGGTTTATTGTTTGTAATAATTATTTTTGCTTGTATTATTGATATTTTGTTTATTGTTAGAATTATATACAAATGGGAAATTTTAAAGAGTTTAAAAATATTTGAGGAAACGTGTGCATCAAATTCAAAACTTGAAGCAAAAAGAAGCGTTTGTGATAATGAATTTTCGAAATTTTGGCAGTCTTGTTATAAAATGTGCGAACGCTACATGCGTAATAGTCAAAATTACAAAAACTTATGACGGACAATTTGAAAATAAAAGAAAGACAATGAATCTGAATAAAAGGTAAAAAAAAACTCAAATCTTCGGATGATGATATTGATATTGATATCGCACCAACAAAATCATCACCACCATCAGCTAATGATGTGTATCTGAAGCAGACAATATTTTGGATGTGTGAAGCCCTCAAGACCTCTGGTGTGAATTTTATTAAACAAACAATGATAGGAAAACTGGGAGACGAAACAAATTTGCAACTACAAATAAAAGTAAGCCAAGATGAAATTGATCAATTAAAAACCCTTGATGAATTCATTCCTGATAAAGTATCATATTTACATGATCATGTGATAAAAAATAGCAGCAGCCAGGAGATGTGGATTTTGATGATAAATTTATGAAGCCAGGTTACAATCATCCAATTTTTGATGAAGGGTTGGAAAATTACATAAAAAAATTTCTTGCTCAAGATATTTATATGATTGAGAAAACGAACGAATTACAAAAGGAAGAGGTGCCAAAGGCCAAGTAAAAGATAAGGTATCAATCAGACTTTAATGAACGAAGAAAAAATAAAAAGCAGAAATCAAAACAGCAATAACAAGTTGAAATAAGAATATTTAATGGAAAAACGTATAGAGTTAGGACTTACAATCGCGCAGCGGATACCTAAAATAATGGCGGTGATAAACCCTGACGTGGATCTTACAAAACAATGTCAAAATTGGGTGGTGGCCACCGTGCCGTCCGGAGTTTATAAACTTTACGCGAGAAATTATTCTAATGTCTTTAAAACTTCGGACCCGTTTTCAATTTATACTATAAGCTCTACTCAAATCAGTCCGAATACACCCACTTCCACAACCACAACCACAATTACGACCACATCCACATCCATATCCACACACACAACTACAAATACACCCAAATCTGATGTAAATACCGAAGAAAACTCAATCCGAAATACTATAATTGGGTCAGTGATTATAGGCATTACAAGTATAGTAGCTGCAGCAATAACCACAAGATATATTGTTTGTAAATGTCGCAGAGAACGAGATCAACATGATGTGGTAGCCCCGTAAAAACCTGATCTGATTTAAAATTCCAGAAATCATATTCATGGAAAAATCACAGAAATATTACAGGGAAAAGACAGACTTTGCCACTGTTACAAATTTGTGGAAATTTTCACGAGTATTCTGGAATTAAAATTCATATAGTGGATTATTTTTTATAGGGCAGTGGTGGAAAAATATCAACCTACCACCATATGTATATTATTTTTTTAGTCATATTTAACGATTAATTATCGGACTTTTTTTAATAAATAGATTATCATAAACCCACACTATTGTTATTGTAATGCTTTTCGTATCAATCATATTAATTCATAAAGGTTGGAACCGATCAAAAAACCTTAACCGGTTAAATATTTAACAAATATTTGTCAAAAATTTAAACGGAAATTAATATTAATCAAACCAACAATTATAATAATAAAATGTGGTTTATATAAAAAATACAATCTCATAAATGTATGTTATTTGATGATGAGTCTATGCAGGTTCCGTATTTTGTACATTTACGCTTCCGTACTAAATTATGCTCTGTACGAAACAAAAAAGGTTAGTGTACGGAATTGAAAAGTGTACATACTAATACTGATCCCCACCAATTACAATCAAATTTTAAAAAATACGAGTCCGTATTCCATACATGCTAATACTAATACTAATTATAATACGAAATCTACGGATCAAAATCAATAGTAATAGTAATAATAATAGTGTACGGAAATACAAAGTGTACAGAATCTTTACTACCCTGTAAAAAATGACACCAGAATATTTTCATTATATCTCCGTAATCATGTTTATCACTCCGTAAATGTTCAGTTTATTTCATAAAAGCAGCAACCAGTGAGTAAGCAATCTGGATTTTTTCCATGATGTCATTTATATTAATATAGGGACATTTGTAGAGATTAAGATTTTTTTTTATGGTTCTGTAATATTATTAACTGATAAACTCGCAAAAAAAAACGGGCCTTTTTATTATTAAATAACCGATAAACTCGCAAATAAAAATGGACACTATTATTATTATTATTAATTAACTAGTCGCGTGACATTTCCCACAGGTTGTAAAAATAGTAAAATTGGCATCATAGTAAACTTTGTGTTTGACGCGTCCAATTGCAAATAGAAATAAATGTAAATAATTATATATTTATAATATTTATACATTTTAAAGTTTTTCTTTTACATTTTATTCTACATAAATAATAACGATTAAAATAATTAGATAATATGGACAAGCAACAATAATATACAAATTGATAAAA